TGCCCGCCTCCCTGGCGGAGACCTGGCCGCTCGGGTCCGCAGCGGGAGCAGCCGCCGCTCCAAAACTGAAATATAACAGGCCCTGCTGTAAATGGCGCTGTTTTGGATTATTTATTTATTCCCCCCCCAAATAAGGCCGGATGAAGAGCGACTGTCCAGCTGCCAAAATAACAAACAGAGACGAACTGTTGCTTGCGGTGCACATTACTCAGCGCTGCGAGGTTCCCGCAGACCTCAAAACCTCTCCGCGCCTGCTCCCACGCGAGCCGCCTACTTACCGAGCCGTATAAGAGCCCGTTGGTGTCCATGGCCAGATACTGTCCCGACTTGGTGCTCTTTATATACACCTCGCCCACACTTTCCGCACTTAGCTGGAGTTGAACTGAAAGTAGAAATAAAGCAACAACAACAACAAAAATAAGAGGAAAATAAGGGAAGAAAAAAAAAGATGTTGTCAGAGAGGCGTCTCAGCTACCAGGGAAGTTAGCAGGGTATTTTTATCCTGAAGCTCTGCTTATAAGAGTTTAGAAGAAGCAGTGCAGCACGTAATAGAAAATGTCTCCTTGTACCCTCTCCTTCAAAGAAACCCCGCAGCCATGTTTTAGGAACCAAAGGCCAATTTTTTCCTTCTTTGACATCAAAGGAAGGGCAGTCTTCTGGTTAAGGCGCTGGAACGGGACACAGGAGACTGGGGTTTTAATTCTGGCTCTAATTTACAAATTTCTCATGCGGTTTTGACAAGACGCTTAAGGAGTCGCGTATGAAAAAGCAGTTCGAGATGCAGGCCAGGGACTCAGCCTTCAGTGCCCGTCCTATTTCCTATTCGAGAGACAGAAAATATCTCCTATAGATATCTGTGAGCCACGTCTTGCCTTGCTCCAGTCACAGTGTAGCTGTCACTCAACAGTCGGGTAAAATGGTTAAAACTCGGCTCTAGTTCGTGACTCGTATGTTTATCAAGAAACGCTTCGGCAAGGGAAGAGGCATTTTGCTGGAGAGGAGCTTCGGGAGGAACGCGCCGTTACGCTTTCCTTCAGGGAGCTCCCGAGATCCGACTGGGACGGGGACGCGGGAATGGTAAAGCCCAAACGATGGCTCGGCCACTTCGGCACGTGCAGAGAACTGTGGCTACACGCAGAATGGGACTTGCAAAATCAGAGCTACTCCAGGTGGCCAGGCCCATCTCCTCGCCAGCTTTTCTTCCCTGTGCTTACACGACAAAGATTTGTAACAGAAATACTTAGGCTGGTTTGAAGGGAGTATGAATGGATGTCCCAGTTCCAAGTCCTTCCTTCCTTTGTTCTTTATTTTATTATCCTAGTCCGGACAAGGTGAAGGACAGTATTACCTCTTGCTATGGCAGAAGCCCCTGGCCCTGTGAAATATTTGCTGCTGTGGTTCAGATTCTTCATTTTTGGCACTTAGAGCTCAGTAAAGGATGTTTAATTAGTAAATCGCACGGGTGCACATTTGCAGGAATATGCAATTCCTTGGTTTGCTCAGTTCAAAGCGGGAGCTGGCACTCGGCAGCCCCCGAGCGCGGTCAGTCTGCTTCACCTTTGGCTGGAAGCTGCATGCCCAGGACGTGGCCAAGGAGAAGGCAAACCAGGGGAAACCGGGAAACCGGGAAAGTTTTTGTCCCCAGCGGAGAACCTGCCACTGGCAAAGGGCACCAAGTGCTCGGGCTGGCAGGAGAAATACGGGGGCAGCAGGAGGGGGCAGAGGAGGAAGAGAGCGGCAGAAGGATCTCACGCGTGACCTCTTACATGTTCTACAGGGCTATACAGGTATTTCCCTCCGTGAGTAATGGGATGAAACAGAGAGAACATGGCTGATCAAAGGCCTGTTTTTGGAAATGAGCACGGGCTTCATCCAAAATAGTCTGAAACATCCTGGTAAGTTTTCTTCTTATTTCATGGTGAAAGGCGGAGATGCGCGAGCGTTGCAGGAAAGGTGCTGGTGATGGGGCTGCACACCGAGTTGGATTTTTAATTCCTCATTAGGTGTCCTACCCAATTTTGTGGCTCGCACCTGGTCAGATGATTTCAGTCACAAGTACTCTGGGTCTTTATGTGGACCAAGAGGCACCAGCCAAGCCCTGGCGTGGGGCACGGCCCGGCGTTTGGCGGCGCTCCACTTCCCTGC